ATGAAGAAAATGATGCGATGAAGTCGGACGATCGGAGGAGAGACAGAGAGTCGAACGAAACTAATGATTGCTCGCGGGCAAACTTGAAATGTGTGTATTACAGCAAAATGGGCAAGGATTTCGATGCTATGGGATTCGTCAAGGACTTCGCTGCCGGAGGCATCTCCGCAGCCGTCTCAAAGACTGCCGTCGCTCCCATCGAGCGTGTGAAGCTGCTTCTGCAGGTTCAGCACATCTCGAAACAAATCAGCCCCGAAGGCCAATACAAGGGTATGGTTGATTGCTTTATCCGCATTCCAAAGGAACAGGGTTTCAGCTCGTTCTGGCGTGGTAACTTGGCCAATGTCATCAGATACTTCCCAACCCAGGCCCTGAACTTTGCCTTCAAGGACAAGTACAAGCAGGTAAGCAAACAGACGATGCGAACGGAGGAGATGGAGTTGCAGTTCTAACATCTATTCCGCCATTCCGCCATTCCGCTGCCATTCCCCGCACATAGGTCTTCCTGGGTGGTGTTGACAAGAACACCCAGTTCTGGCGTTACTTCATGGGTAACCTGGCCTCCGGCGGTGCTGCTGGTGCCACTTCTCTGTGCTTTGTCTACCCCTTGGACTTTGCCCGTACTCGGTAAGTGCCATATAAATGCAATGTGTATAATGATATCCGATATTAACGAATGTTTTCAATTCAACTCACACAGCTTGGCTGCTGATACTGGCAAGGGTGGACAGCGTGAATTCACCGGTCTGGGCAACTGCTTGACCAAGATCTTCAAGAGTGACGGCCTTGTTGGCTTGTACCGCGGCTTCGGTGTGTCCGTGCAGGGTATCATCATCTACCGTGCCGCATACTTCGGCTTCTACGATACCGCTCGCGGTATGTTGCCCGACCCCAAGAACACACCCATCTACATCAGCTGGGCCATCGCCCAGGTTGTGACAACCGTCGCTGGTATTGTGTCCTATCCCTTCGATACCGTGCGTCGTCGCATGATGATGCAGTCTGGTCGCAAGGCCACCGAGATCATCTACAAGAACACAATTCACTGCTGGGGCACCATTGCCAAGCAGGAAGGCACTGGCGCCTTCTTCAAGGGCGCCTTCTCCAACGTTCTCAGAGGCACTGGCGGTGCTTTCGTGCTTGTGTTGTACGATGAGATCAAGAAGGTCTTGTAAATTAAATTATTAAATTATTCAACCAACAAAATACAACAAACCACAACATACATACAAAACAACAACAACAAACAAAACACTACCAGCTAATTATATTAGATAAACTGAACAGAGAAGAGAACAGAGTTTGATCTGCAAAACAACACCTAACCAGAACAACGGCAAGCAATAACCCTTTTCCTTCCTGCCCCCGCCAGCCACCCCTCCCCAAAATATAATTACGAAATTATATGATATAGAATAACTGGGATAATAATTAATAATTGAACGATGGCCAGAATCAATAGAACACCAGCAACACCAACAGCAGCAACAGCAACAACATCGGTGGAGAGGAGGAAGAGGCTGAGGTAAAGCACACAAGAAACACACGCAGCCGCAGCCATAGCCATGTGTGTGGATGGATGGACGAACGAATAAATTAGCGACGATATTGAATAGTATTGTGTTAAGTTTTTGGGTTAGGTTATAGTATAGGATAGTGTATCCTGTGTCCTGTGTCCTGCATCCTGCATCGGTCGTTCGTACGTGTGAATCGTGTTTGCCGAGCCAGCCGCCATTTCTCTAGCCACCAACCAGAATGTTGGCAATAGCGAGGGCACCATACCAAGAATCGACCCCAACACCATTAGTTGATTCTTCAGCCTCCTGCTACCCAACAACAAACAACAAACTCAACTTAGGTTGGTTTATAAAATATATAAAAATTGATAAAAATAGAATGTTGGATGTGTTTTTCTTTCGTCACTGCTATTGCCCCTGGCTCCTGGTGGCCCCACTCCGTCCTGGGGTTTACCCCATACATAGGTAAGCTACGGTACGGGTATTTATCTGATCTTGGCAACAGTTTGAGCTTTATCATCATGTGGCTTTGGTATATGTGTGTACCTTGCACCTCGTTTTCCCCTTGCTCGGCGAGTTATTCAGCTGTTCGTGCCTGAGAATGACAAAAAACAAAATACACGCCGTGTGTGTGACTGAGACTCGCTCCTAAGGAACATTTTTCCTTCGTGGATCGTGATTCCCAACAATCGTTAATATTTGAACCAGAAATTTCTGAATTTCGGCTTCCTTCAGTCCGCTTTATATTTGGTGTGACCAACTCTTCGCAAAGGTTCGCCAATTCACCAACGTAAAAGTGTTGAGCTGCGCGCTCTTCCACATTGAAATTGAAAAACGTATTCTTTTAGTCGGATCGGATGTCGGTTTGTACTTGGTTTCCACTGAAACGATCGTATTTCTGTCTCATTCGGGGTTTTCGGTGTTCGGCCGCTTGATGTTTTTGGGTTTTTCGTATTTTCATATTTTGTGTTCCGACTTCAACTGCAACGTAGGCCCTGTATTCTCCAGCCTATATTTCAATTGAGTTTTAGGAGAGACCCGAGCGCCTGTAATCTGAATCAGAATCAGACTCAGACCCATTTTCGGCAAAATTTATTTTTTCGGTATTGAATCAAAATTATTAATCAAATTTGTACAATTTTTCACCACAACTATCCTAAACCCAACTAAATTGATCCCGAAATTCGGCCCAGAAGCAAGCAAATTTAGATATCCAAAATGGGTGACGAAGGCGGCGGCGGTGGTGGTAAAAGCAAGGACTTTAAGGGCTTCATGTTAGACTTCATGATGGGCGGCGTGTCGGCGGCCATTGCCAAGACAGCGGTGGCGCCCATTGAGCGCGTGAAGCTGATTCTCCAGGTGCAGGAGGTGTCCAAGCAGATATCGCAGGATAAGCGCTACAAGGGCATCATGGACTGCTTCATTCGCATACCCAAGGAGCAGGGATTCTCGTCGCTCTGGCGTGGCAACTTGGCCAATGTAATCCGTTACTTTCCCACTCAGGCCCTTAACTTTGCCTTCAAAGATGTGTACAAAACGGTACGTACGTCCTATGCCCTGTGATCTCTGATCAGTCCCATTCCAATTCAGTGAAATATAATCCAATCCAAAACATTCTCCCCCACAGGTTTTCCTCGGCGGTGTGGACAAGCACAAGCAGTTCTGGCGTCATTTCATGGGTAATCTAGCTTCTGGCGGTGCTGCAGGTGCCACCTCGTTGTGCTTCGTTTATCCATTGGACTTTGCCCGAACACGGTGAGTACTGGAGCAGATTTAGACTAGGAGAGGAACATGCTGGAAAGCTAAGGGTTCAACCTACACTTAAATGACTGGGAAATTTTAATTCAGATTTTAATTGAATGGAATCGGGAGAAGGAATTGTGACAAGAGGATCCTTTGAATTTGTCGTTGTCTTACCTTCTCTTACTTCTTAACCAGAGTAGATACCACCATATAGACCATTCTCTATGGGTCTGGCTTAGCTGCTCACCTTCAAGAGCAGCACGGATTTATGTATTATGTATTTAACTTGGCTCCTTTTCTTTCCACAGTCTTGCCGCTGACGTGGGCAAGGGCGGTAGCCGTGAATTCAACGGCCTCATCGATTGCCTGGTAAAGGTGGTAAAGTCGGATGGTCCCATCGGCCTGTATCGCGGATTCATTGTGTCCGTGCAGGGCATCGTCATCTATCGTGCATCGTACTTTGGCTTCTATGACACGTGCCGCGACTTCTTGCCCAATCCGAAGAGCACGCCCTTCTATGTGAGCTGGGCCATTGCCCAGGTGGTCACCACTGTCGCAGGCATTGCCTCGTATCCCTTCGATACGGTGCGCCGTCGCATGATGATGCAGTCTGGCCTGAAGAAGTCCGAGATGCTGTACAAGAACACGGCCCACTGCTGGCTGGTGATTGCCAAGCAGGAGGGCATGGCCGCCTTCTTCAAAGGCGCCCTGTCGAACGTCATTCGCGGCACAGGCGGTGCCCTGGTGCTCGCCATTTACGACGAGTTCAAGAAGTACTTTTAGACACATCCAGCAGGCGTTTGTCTCGGAGCCCTATATCAAGAATACCATCCTCCTGGCTGAAGCAACTAGCCTGGCTGTCCCCAGCCTAACCATTCCAACGGATTCCAGATCTCAAATTAGAATAGTTCGCTGGTTATAAACTATACAGAAATATAAGTTGAGTTATGCTGAATGTGCTTGCTGTGTATCGGTGGGTGTTTGCACTGTTGCTGCCCCCAAGTGTTGGGATCTCCTCCTACGGAATGCAGGGCATTCACATGGGATGTGCACCGATGTTGCTTCCTGATTCATGTCACAGAATAAGTGCCTACAACTATGTAGGTAGGTTGGGGGGGAGGGAAGAATACTGTAGAATAGCCAAATAAATCGCAGGGAATGGACAATGCAATGAACGTACAATGATTGATGGCGAAGTAGAAGAATCTACCTACACCTCAGAGAGAAGGGTTTCCATCAAAGCAATAGCCGTTTCGTTGACAAAAAAAATACAAATAATTTATTGAACTTATTAATTCTTTGCGCTATTGTTTCTTTGTGTGCGTGTGTCTCTAGTTTAGTAAATGTGTGTGTGTGTCTGTGTGTGTGTGTGGGTGTTTGTTTGGATTTCAACTTAATGTTAGCATCAGATCAGCGTTAAAGATAATCATTAAAATAACACCACAAACAAATTAGCTTGGGGGTTAGGTTGGGGCGCATTCTGATCCTTCCCTTCCCTTACCCATGGATGCCATGCCCTGTCTGTCCTCCTCACATATGTACATATGTACGAGTAGATTAACACCATACAAAAACAAAACAAAAAAAACAAGAATACATTCACGAAAAAACAAACGGAGATAGAGCTAGGGAGTAGTGTTGGGGTTGAAGAAACTGCACTTATTCTGTTAACAATTAATAATTATTCTACGCTAGATTTCATCCATGTGGCTCGGCTCATCCTTCCTGCTTGCTGCTGCTGCTTCTGCTGCTGCTGCTGCTGCTTCTGCTTCCAGACTAATGGGTAGCTCCCGATCTGTGGGCCAGGAAAAGGAAGTACGTGCCCGCCGCATAAGCCAAGAAGTTGAACAGCCCAAAGACGCCGGCGGCCGTGTTGGAGCCGTTGCCCTTTTCCTGGGACTCCGACCATCTGGCCAGCTGAACAATGAAACCAATGAAGTACAGCAGCGTCAGCACGGCGGTGGTGATCAGCTCCTGCGGGGTGCGAAGGAATCAACATCAAAATTATAAGTTTTGGCTGCAAATTTCTGCTTCAGTGCGACGCGATGGCTACTCACAGAGAATATCCAGTTGACGGCCACATTGAGGGCCTCGCGTATGCCCAGGAAATAGGCGGCAATCAGCAGGATCGTGATGATGAACGAGATGACGATCACGAACATAAAAAACGAGGTGGCCGAGTTTAGTGGCGGGGCGGCCAGGGCCATGCAAATAATGCCCAGAACCTGAAAGTGAATTGCAAACAAGAAGAGAACATTCATGAATGGTTATGGTTATGGTATGGTGCGGTACGGTACAATGCTCATGATCTCCAATTGACTGGAGCCATGGCCATGATGTCACCCTTAATTGAGCACTAATTTCGAACGAACGAACGAACACCCTGTCTGCGATCGATGAGCGAAGTCAGTCAGTCTCATGCATAGCTATAATTTATTGAAAGCATTAGGCAGGCAGTCTTCAGTGGAATTTCTAAGCTGAATACTCTCTGCTGAATGCTAATACTCGCTGACGATCTGCGGGCCAAGTGAACGATATGCCCCAATGACACGACACGACGTCTATCGGTGACAGAGAGGAGCACACCCCACCCCACCACACCACACATTTGTCCCTCGACTCGTTTTTCGGGCAATTAAAAAGTAATAAACATTTGGCGACGAACAGGTGCGCAGTCCCTGTGCCATTGCCATTGAATTTTCTTTATCTTGTGTGTGTGTGTGTGTGTGTTGCTGCTGCTGCTGCTGCTTTTGGCTAAAACAAAAGGCGGGTAAAAAGTGAAAGCTGAAAGTTGTTCGCCGGGTCGGGGCCGGGCCAAAAGCGACTTGCTGCTTGTGTCGCTTTTTCTTTTGCCTCTGCCTTGTCTTTGTGAGTAGTAGTACATATTACTATCTTGCAAGCAAAATTAACCAACAGAGACAGAAACAGAAACAGAAACGGAGCAGATGCGCATTGCCGGGGCGGGGCGGCTGCTGCTGAGAAAATCAAAGGCTGATTGAAACATCAGCGATTTTGTAGATTTTTGATTGCAAACAAAACAAAACATCGTCACAAATGTCCAATTTTCAGGTATGTCTGTTTTGTGTATAGATAGGTCCCATACAATGGATGTGTTCTTGGAGCCAGAGTCCCATATGTCCCATCCATGCAGGGTATATCGGTGAGGGTATGGTATCTGTCTTCGGTTTTGCTGGGGCCAGCACACGAGTTTAATGTGTGCAAGAATCATTTTATCTCAGCTGCATCCAAAGATAGTTATGATCAATAATGGAAACGATTTGCCGATTTGAGGCTTCGGCCATTCGTTGGCCTGTTTTTATTAGTTTCCGTTGCCGCTCCCAGACCAAAAATTTGCGTCACGTTTTGAAAGAAATCTGAAAAGCTAGCCGGAAAGTATTTAAATTTTATTTCTTTGAAAGCATAATTTATGTGCAGCTTTGGGTGTGCTGTGGAAATGCTGTATATATGTATTAAGCGAATGACAAGTATAGCTACATATATATATACATATATACCATGTAGATGTGGTATGTGGTACATAAGTGGATGTGTTGGTCACAGCTAATATACAGTTTGGATGTATAAAAATATACATATATAGTATGTATGATATATCTGCTGCATACATATGTAAATGTGTATATAAAAGCGTAATGCTTGGACACACTCAGTTTCCACGGGTCCAGGGAAGAAGAGCAGCCCACAGCCTGCCTGCCTGCCTGCCTGCCCTACCGCCTGCTAGAACCAGGTTCGTTCTAGTTCAGTTGCGGTTTAAATAATAATTATTTTTGGCCACAAAATCAATTAATGTTAATATAAATAAGCGGATGTATGTATTAGGAAACAATTACCACTTGGATAGTGCAATATCTGTAAAGATTGTCAGACACATCAGGAAGAATCTCTAAATCCATTTGTATTCTTTTCCGACATTTGTTTTCGAAGAATTGTGTTTGTTTTTCAACAGTAATTACAAACCTACATATGTATGTATGTATGTCACTGTTTTACGTATGTACTTAGTGAGTGAGTGGGTGGGTGAGTGGGTTGGCTCCCCTGCTCAGGGCACAAGTAATGGGCAATTTTCTTTGCTTTGTGAAGCATGAAAAAGCAGTGCCTGATCGTCGCACACATACATACATACATATGTCATAAGTAATACCGATCGTGGAGCATGGTTCTGGTTCGCTCGCTCATCATTTGCTATTTATTTACGCGTGCGTTTGGGCCTGATCAATGACATGAGACGCCACTGAAATGTATCTAGTTCTTGGCCTCCGCCTTTGCTTCAGTCCGAATGTCTGAATCCAAGATTCAACCCATGCACAGCTATGGGGCAAGAAGCCAAACAAATCGCCATCGCAATAGCTGATACATACACATGTACAGGATAATGATTGCCCGGGGAATAAACACACACATACATATATGTACATATCTGACGTCTACTGGCATTCTACAGATCTTGAAAGATGAGCTCATTTCAGTCAGAGCTTCGTGCACTTAGTCACCGACAATTACTTAACAAGCATACATACATACATATATACAAATATACAAATATATACAAATGAGGGGCCAGTGCAGTCCGTTTCATAAACACATTTGTGCAATACAATGAGGAAACCGCTCTTCAAACTACAAACAGGAAAGCCTGGCGGCTTAAGAGCTGCCCAGCCCTAAAGATGGAAAGACATTCTTTAGGAGAGATAGCCCCAGCCCCAGCACCTGCAGCTGCCCTTCAATGAAGGAAAACCTTACAGAACTGTAACGCCCCTTGGCTGGATCACTTTGGCGATCTGTCACCACTGTCACCACCCCCATACAAACGAAACAACGGGCCAAAACAAAGCTCTGCTCCTCCCGCCTTTTGGCGAACATCCACTAGATCTTGTAGTAAAAATCTGACACCAAATGTGTGTCATGATTTCCGCTTTTGGAGGGGAGAACATTAAAATGAATATCAACAGAAACAGAAACTGAAACAGAAACAGAAACAGAAACAACAATAGCCATAGCCATAGCCATAGCCATACTAACGTACTACAACAATGTTGTGCGCTAAATGTAGACCCACCAGCTTCCAAAATACATGCATACATACATACAAACATACACATACATATACATTACGTAATGTCTATTATTATTAAGAAAATAAACAAAAATAAACACTACAAATTAATAATAATAATAAATCGTGCCAATGCTATGCTATATGAATACGTCTGCGATATATGTGGAATATCGAAGGAATATACTAGACAAGTACTTGCATATATGTATGTGTATGTATATGTACATATGTATGGCACAAGTACAAGTGGGGGAATGCAAGGGAATGGGTCCAAAATACTAATGGCCTGGACAACAATCTTATCTGCAATAGGAGTATTACATATATGTATGTATGTATATATGCACACTATACACACAGCATATATGTAGGTATAACTGATAGATGGGCTTCAATTCGTGACAGAGTTCTGGGGTTTTGGGTTTGGTTTTGGTCTGCCTGGGGTTGGGGCTTGGGTCCATGGGTCCATGGGCCGTATGAGTAATTTTCGGTCAGGTGTCACCAGGCATCAACAGGCAGTCGAAGTGGCTTAATCTGTGCCTGGCTAGCCAGGTGGGGCAGGTGGGGCGGCCTCATTATCGCTGTCCCCCCTGATAACCATGCATATGAGTAATGGCCGATTAACCATTAGCCAATGACTCACGTCTGGCTAACTTATAGTTATACATATGTATGTATGTATGTACATCCATATGTACATTGTACATAGTTTCTTCGGAGGGTTTGATGGAGACTTTAAATGGGGCACAAATAAATGCAGGAGTGGGCATATTCGTGTAGACTATCGGAGTTCTACGATAAGATTAGTTGGTCGAAATAAAATGATAAATCCCCTTTGACAGAAACAGAATACCAAGCTACATACATACATACATATGTACATATGTACATACATACAGAAATATTGGATCAGTCAGTCTGGGGCATGGGCATGGGCATGGATCAGGTTCCTTTGAATAGTTGACTCTTTGACGAGCCTGTACCTGTCACTAGTCACCGCATTCGAGAGCCCGGCACTGGGACTGGGACTGGTAATCGGCGAGAGTCGGTTCGGGGTCGGTCGCAGAAAATCAATAAATAATAGCACTTAATAAACGAAAGCTTATTGCGATGGTAATCATATCAGCACTTTAACCCTCCCACCCACCGTTGTCCTTCACATTCGCGTTCCCCCAACTAAACTGTAACTCCCCATCCTATTGATTTTTCTATAACAACCGACGGCGAGTGCTGTCGGCAGTTAATAATGCATTTTTCATGTGTACGCTCAAGCAGTTGTCACCATCCCACCCACCCATCCGCGCTACGCCACACCACACCACACCACACCAGACCCCACAAAAACCCAAATACCCAAATGGGGGTTTTCATTAATTATTTGTCCATATGGTTAGCCCTTGTTTTGGAAAGTAATTATATATGATGCAAGTCCAATTGGTGAATACTTTCCGCAACAAATTGGGCAGTTTAAAGTCAATTTTTGAAATTATTCCTTCGATTTGTGGCCAAGAAAAAGTATCGAACCCAAAGGAACCCAAAGGAGCCTGTAAACAAAATCAATTATCGTAACTTTTGTGTATTTTGGGCAGCGACAATCACTGCAAGGTGTACTCTTACTCCCATGACCAGAGACGAGTGGCAAAAGGGGGAGACGGGCACCGCCTCAGTACCAGCAGCAAAAGCAACATTCTGTTGTTGTGTTGGCGTTCAATTGACAAACAACTTGCTGTGGGCAGATCGGTCAGATCAGAGCTGCTAGCAGCCGGCAGTCAGGCAGTCAGGCAGTCAGTCAGTCAGCCCACACGGCGAAACATTTGTTCCCATTATCCCAAAACAGAGCTCGTCTCGTTTGTTCGTTCGCTTGTGGGAAAATTTAAATTCAAATTCAAATTTAAAATTTCAATCGAAATATTCTGTGGTAATAGTAATCGAAGCGAAGCGAAACGAAACGAAATGAAACAAATTCCAGCAATAGCATCGACTCTTCTTTCCAAGGAATTGCATAATTCTCGAAGGGGTACGAATGGGGGGGGGGTGGGTACCGAGGCAGCCGTTGACCACATGCCCCATGGCTCACATGTCCGCTCTTCTTTTCATATTATTTCTCTGGGCTTTGCCGTGATTTCCTATCTTATCCGTCGCAGGTCTAATGAGATCCTGACACACACGTGAGTACATGCTGCAGGTACAGTGAAAGCTTCATGCTAGCTGGAAATCAGAAGCCTCCACTGTGTCCACTCCGGAGTGCTTCCACTGTATACTGTATACGTACGTATGTACGTATATGGGCTGCCAATGTGTCAATTGGTAAGCCTTTTGATAAAGGTAAGATTGAGAAACCCATAGATAAAACTGTGCAAGTATCTAGCCCGGCAGGTGTTACAGCTGGAGGGAGGGGGAGCGCCCGATAACTAACTGCCTGCCCGATAAACACCCAATGCAATTGGCTGCAAGTCTGCCGAGTCTGCTGTCCGCATATACCAATTTTGATTTCGGAATACGAAAATAAATACTTACGAATTCCACAATCTTGACGATGCCCGGCAGGGTGCGGAAATAGTCCATGTTGAGCCGTATGGCGCTCCAGAAGCCCCCATCGCCGCTTGATGGTCCGCCGGGTGGACCATTTGTTGTAGTTGTTGTTGTGCGCTCAACATTGACAACGGTCTCGACCATTTTGATGCTGGGTTTTTATTTAGTTTTATTTATTTAGTTTATAGATCGATTGGGAACGGAACTATTTTTAAAACACTGTTCCGCGTTCGGTTTGTCACAGAAAATAAGAATATTATTCAAAGAATATATGTATATGTGATGATGTGAAGCTCTCTCTTCCCCTCTAGATGCAAATACAAGATCGGTGTGGGTATACTCGTATATATGACACCCTCGCGCCACTGATTTTTAAATATATAGCGCCAATCGGTGCGTGTTTGTGTGTCCGTGTGTTTGGTATCTGATTAGCACAGAGGCACAAGATCGGGAATGCGATGCGTTGCTGTGGCCACGGCGGACGAGACGCGTTTGACGGCAGGCAGAGTGTCGTGTCGCAAGGCGTCGCCGATTGTGACAGCGACGACGAAGCTTATTACCTGCGCTGCTTCGCTGCCGCTGCCGCTACCACTGCCAGTTAGCTACCTGCAGCATAACGGTTAACAAAGCCAAGGTATATAAATAAACAAGGTGGGGGGCATGGCATACCCACTCCGATCACTATGATCACTATATTCTTGGGAGGCTCTTACTTTACGGATCCGCTTTATGTACAATCCGTCGATAGATTACGTATTTACTATACCCTTTAAACGATACATCTGATATACACATGCCCCTGAGACATGGCCACAAAATATGACCTCAGAAACGAAAGCGAGTTGTTGGGAAAGCCCTCTCTGGGAATGCCTCACCTTATGTTAAGAGACCTTGCATAAAATGAGCGAGGTGCGCTCGCTCCCATATTTCTCTCTCTCTGGCAGGCGGCTACACACTCTCTCACACATCTCTGCTGCCCCCCCTCGCAAGCACAATACATAGTTGCGCCTGCGCTGTGGACTCTACATTTATTGCAATTTTCTGCGTCTTGCTGACTACTCTGCCGGCACAGCCAGCTATCTCCGTCTCTCTCTAATTCGCTTGCACTGCTTAGTGCCCTGCTTTGTTACTGTCTCTGTCATTCTGGACGCCCACTGCCTTGGTTGCGGTTCCTCCCTCTCTGCAGCTTGCATTTGATTATTGCCTCACCATGATTTTGTTTGTGTGGAACATTTTTGGTTAGGTTTTATTTTGGGTGCAATTTCCATTGAAGTGTATGCATTATCTATGATACAAATTGCATAATATACGACAAGTAGTAAGTATAATTTTAATAACTTAAATTTTGGTGTACACCCGGGGCAAGATCGTGCTCGGAAACCACACAAGGGATAGCCAGCCTACTATCCTACAGAAACTGTGATCTGTGAGGGCTTTCCTCTTACTTTAACTACCTATGGGAGCTTAATGCGAAGTGCAGTTGATATTTTTTGAATATTTAAAATTTTCATAAAATTTGGTATGTGTAGAGGCACATCCGTATCCCGTATCGGGTGTCGCGTATCGGTTGGGATTGCCCCGGGATGCATATCGTATACAATTTTGGTTCACCGGCTGCTGGGACTCACCCGCACAATCTGTACAATTAAGTGGTAAAACTTATGAAATAAAATATCTCTGATGCCTGGCAAACAAAGGGAGCTCCTATCCAATTAAGTATTGGAAAAAACCATTTTTAAAACAAGTTAAATACGCGTAAAACGTACATACATATGTAAAACAACAATTAGCGATGCGAATGTTTCGAGCGTGTCTTGGGTTGACGGCACTGGGAAGGACTAGATAACAAATACGGCGGTGCAAATACGGTGCAGGATTGCAACTAAACTGGGGACGGCTCACAAGGACACACTCTACAATGGGTGCAATGGGAGCATTGGGTGTAAGGGGTCTACGTCTACAACAATTACAATTTGACCACAGGAGTATTTAGAGTGGCGGACACTCATGAAACAAAGTACAAAATATATAAGCTTCCTTTTCAGCAGCCCTCAGCACTCAGCGTCGCTGGGGATGAAGGACCGCTGCTGCTTCTGCTGCTGCTGTTGTTGCTGCTGCTGCTGCTGTTGTTGCTGGCTGCTGGTTCATTTGTCTCCAGCTCGACCAGGAGGGGTGTTGGCACAGACTCAACATCAGGTTGGGGCAGTGCAGCCTGCTCCTTTTCTTTCTCCTTTTCCTTGTCCTTCTCCTGCCGTAGAGGTGGTTCAGCTTGTGCTTCTGCAGGTGTGGATGTTGTTACAGGGGAAGGCGGCGCTGAGGAGACTTTGTCTGGTGTGTCTGGTTCAAGCTGTGCCTCCGCCTCCGCCTTCGATGGAACATCGAGCAGTGCATCAGCTGGCTGCGTCGAAAAAGGGATGTTCCTTTTGAGCTCGTTCTCGTTGGGCTCATCCGCCGCTGATGAGCCGATAGCTGCAAGGGCGGCTATAGCTGACGCTGAGGTGGAGGCAATGTTGTCATCAGTTGGGGTAATCGGCTTGAGCAGATTTCCCAGATCTCGTTTGCGTTCCCGTTCACGCTCTCGTGCAAACTCCTTTTCCTTCTCCTTTTCCTTGAGATAGCTCTTGTCCTGCGAGGGGCACTCGAGATGGACGCAGTGGAATATCTGTATTTGGGACTAGTCATGAGTTGATTCGCGGCACCGGCCAAGCCAACGGATAGACAATTGCTTACCTCATTCGCTGTATTTCTGGTGCCCACAATCCGTATGAAGACAACGGGCCGGGGCGTGAAATGAAAGTTCTGCCAGGAGCGAACCTTGTCATTGCGCCGGTCCACCACTATTTGCCAGTCGCGGCGATTCGTCGAGGTCTCAATGTAGAAGCTGTAGGTGCGATCGTCGCAGTCCCACAGCAGCAGACGCATCGAGCCCACGTGATAGGGCTGCCCTAGGCGGACAACGATATCGCCGCTGCCCAGCTGGTGGCAGGTGTATCCCGAGTCCCAGTCATAGCGCACATAGTCGCCGTTGATGAGGGCATTGCGGGTGCGGCTGACCCCGTCCGTGACAATGGCGCTCAGATCGACAGTGGCCACATTGCGCTGGGGGGCCACAAAGTGGCCGACCAAATCGGGCACATTGCTCGTGTGCATGGCCTCCAGTCCGACCACGTGAAACACCTGAGACCGATGGGGAGGGGGAATCCTCAATTGAGAAGAATCTTTAGATGCAAGGAAACGCCGCTGGCTTACCCGATTGACGGTGTTCTGTGTGCCCACGAGCCGAATGTAGCGGACCGCACGAGCCGGAAAGTACAGATACTGCCAGGATCGGCAGTGGAACTCGCTGTAGTCTACCACGCACTCCCAGTGCATCATGTCGCCAGAGACCTCCACGTAGTAGGAGTAGGCCCGACTGTCCCGGTCCCACAACAGCATGCGGATGTGATTTATCATGAAGGTGGTGCCCAGTTCGACGACAATGCCGGCATCGTTTTCCGTGATCGAGTGTCGCGTGTACCCGTTCTCCATGTCGTAGTCGGTGACGTCTCCGTCGAGCAGGGCGGACCGGCAATCGCCCTGAATGCAATGCGAATCATGCTTTTCCGTGGCCACATTCTCATCGGGCCACAGGGCGGCCCTGTAGGGCAGCGACTTTGAGGTGCTCCTCTCTTGAAGGGCATCGAGTATTTTGTCCGGCTCGAGAATGGTAGAGGGTCGCACCACCTGCAGCAAATCCTCGAGATTCATGAGTGGCAGACGGACGAACGAGACGACCGACTTGATGTCCACATTCGGATTGTACCGGCTCCATTTCCAAACGGCCTGAAAGATGTGCACCTCGGCGGCAAAAAAGGAGTCCCGTCGCAGCACTTCCTCTAGAGATTCCTGCAAGATTACATACGCATATACATTAGGGATTAGCTGGTGCGTGTCTCCTGGTTGAATGACTCTGGCCCACCTTGGAGAGCATTTTGAACGAGTCGTGCTGCAGCAAGTCGCGAGCATTGCGATCCATGAACGCCAGACACACATTGGTCAGCTCGTCCAGGTTGTAGAGGCGCGCTGCATCCAGAATCATGCACACATTGCTGAGGGCCAGATACTGACGCAGATATTTGGATATGGCCATCTCCAGGTCCTGGAACCCGTACTGGTTTGCCATGCCGAGGACGTCAATCACGGCATCCTCGTCCAAGGTGGACAGCAGCAACGTGCCCGAGTAAATGTACCGCAGTAGCACTTTGAACGGATCCAGCGACACCTCCAGCGTAATCCGTCGTTGTGTCGTCTCTGACATGCCCCCGTAGAGCAGGGCTCGGAAGTACTCGCTGCGCGCTGCGAGAATGACGCGATGGGCCGGCAGGAGCTGCTCCTCGACAACGAACTCCACGTCCGAGTAGTGCTCGTTCATGCAGAGTCGAGCCATGTCAGCCGAGAAGCGGTCGCACAGATCGATTTCATCGGTGAACTCCTGCTCAGGTTTGTTACTCTTGCCGGTGGAGGAGGACGATCTATGCATCTTGTGGTGTCCCTGGCTGCTCATTCCGTCGCTGGGAGCCTATGTGTGGGCCGAAGTCTGTTGGTGTGTGTGTGTGTGTGTGTTGTATAACTGCACGAGTGTGAGTGGAGTAAGGAACTGTTAACAAATGACGCCGCAAGACAATTGCTCGAATACCCTCGAGTGTCAGCCGGATAGGTTGCTACGATTGACCCCTACCCACTACTCACCCTCGTATTATGGCTTTTTTTACTACGTAGATTATATAGATTGTACGCCTTGCCCCCGCTTTCAGGCGAAAAACAATATTTTTTTAGAGTATTTTAATGGAACCTAGGGATGTATGTTGAATATATATTGACATATCGATATATATTTATATTTTTAATATAGATATTTTTGTGCGATATTTTTCAAATGCAGTCCTAAATAATTGCCATTCACGACGAACAATTTCAAATTACGTATTTCAGACCGAAAGAAAACCAACAACAATACAAAGAAAAAAAAACTTCATGCAGATATGGTATTAATAATGACTATATATTACAGTACAATAATTACATTCTTGCACACTTACTCCTCCAGGCACTTGTTGTAAAGTAAAGTGTTCCAGGAGTCCTATTTTCCAGTTTATAAAGGTTGGTTTTGCCGATGTTTGAGTAAAATCATCGATGTCTGCAGCCCAAAACATCGAAGATATCGGTGTTAACATCGATGTTTCTTCGCTCGACTCTCATCACAACAAAATACGAACTACACGAACACGGTTGCAAATAAGGCCAGGGAAAACTGCAAAAATCAAATCCACACACACAGTCAAACAGCTATAGTTATTGTCGATTTTGTTGGACCTAAGAAAAAAAGTGAAAACTGCGTCTCCTAGCTGATTGTGCTAAACTTATCAAAATCATGAAGTTCCAGTATAAGGAAGAACATGCTTTTGAGAAGCGTCGCGCTGAGGGCGACAAGATTCGTCGTAAATATCCAGATCGTGTACCCGTAAGTAACAAATATATAAGTACATATATATAAAATTATATGGAAAAGTGTTGTGTGTGTATGTGGTGCCTGCACAAGTGTGTGGCTATGTATGTATGCGTTTGTTTTGCGTCGTTCGTATCTTTTTTTTTTGTTGGCAAGGAAAAATCAATAATGCGCATATTGATGTTGTTGGTAATTGTTCATAAAATGAATGTCTGGAGCTAATAACAAAATCGAATTTTCTAACCACAAAACGCCTTTCTGCACTTGCAAAACAATAGCAAAATAATATTAAAATGAAAAATTGTCTTACACACATACGCACGCATACAAACGTACATGCATGTAGAGTTGCTTTGTCTTTAATTTTTTTTGTCTTATTTTTCGTTGTGCGTTTTGAGTGTGTGTGTGTGTGCGAGTGTGCGCAAGCCAGCTAGCTGTTCCACTTGCTCAGCTGTTGTGCTGTTGTTCTCTTCCCACTCTCCTATGCCTTCCTACACATATCCCCCACCAAGCATCAGCAGCAACCCCAACCCCTCTCCTCCGCCCAACCAGTTGTTTTTGATTTTGTATTTTCGGTTTTGTTTGCCTGCAAAAACAAAAACGAATACTGCGCATAAAAACAAAATCGCTCACTAATACAACCAGTCGGTTGTTGTTTTTGTTGTTAGCAATTGTTTTTGTTTGTGCAGCAACCGAAACAGCACAGAACCCTCTCTCTGCTGCACAGAAATTAGTCATAGTCTGAAAGTGGACTTCTCCATTGTCTGATATTGCTATTTCACCATTTCCATTCCATTTCACCTTATCAGCGAAAACTCCTCGATCAGCCCTCCTGCATGTGCCCACCCCCTCCCCCATCCGTTGCATTGCTTCGATTGTGTAGTGGAGTCGCCTGAGTTGATGTTTCGATTCAGTTGCGAGTCCCTGCATAAAGTCTTCTGATTTTGAAGCATCTGCAAAGGGTACATTTGTATGTACATTGTACATTATGTTCATATTCTAAGAGAAATCAAATCGCCTGTTTATATGCATGTGGGTATTGCTTTTTGTTATTTTTGATTTGCTGTTTTTTTTGGCAGCCACAAAAATCACATAACAGCTGACCGAGCGGCAGAGCGAGAGGCAAGGCCAGCTGGTTGGTCAGACCATATCTATGTACAATGTGCATACATATCCAAACGAATTCAATATCTAAGCCAGTATAAGCGTCTATAGAATCCACGACACCTTGGCCGCGGCCAATGACGCTTACCAGATTGGCTAATGCGGCTAACAAAGGGGGAGGGAAAGGAAAGAGAGAGAAAACATAGCAGAATCAGCTAGAATGCTAATCGCATGTATATTCATTGTGCTGATGCTTCCTGCTCCAAGTTAAACTTTAATTCGGCTGCTAAATAACTGGCGGGGTAGGTGGAATGGGAAGGGGTAACCAGTTAACGCCAAAGATAATTGAGGAATTCCTCATGTGATGACACCCCTAAACATTTGTGAGGTATCACGTAGTCGAGCATACAACGAGCAACTTGTGTGGCGACACTGAAAAATGCAATTACAATTTCATGATTTTCGCCAAATGTGTGTGTTTTTGAAATATTTCAAGGGCACGTACTCTACTCTATAAAATGTTTTTATTTGCTTGTTATTCAACATCGAACATTACTGATTGCCCCTCTGTTGTATTCCTGCAGGTGATTGTAGAGAAGGCACCCAAGGCACGCATCGGGGATCTGGACAAGAAGAAGTATCTGGTGCCATCGGATTTGACTGTGGGCCAGTTCTATTTCCTCATACGCAAGCGCATTCATCTGCGTCCCGAAGATGCCCTCTTCTTCTTCGTGAACAATGTCATTCCACCAACATCGGCTACCATGGGCTCCTTGTACCAGGTACGTCCTAAGAGCCCTCCTCTGAGTATACTCTAACCTAACCATTTTGAATACTTTAATTATGCCCGCAGGAGCACCACGAGGAGGACTACTTCCTGTACATAGCCTACTCCGATGAGAATGTCTATGGCACCTACTAATCTTAAAGGAAATGGAGATGAAGATGAAATGAACCCCCTATACAGAAATCTATATATATAAATCAATATATTTTATGTTTAGCATGCAGCTTATACAATACGACGCGAGTTAGCTAAACGAATTGAGAAAAAAAAAACCACAAAATGCAACAAGATGAACTTAAAAAAATGATCTGAACAGAGGAAATGAGCAAACCAACAAAAATGAATTGTTATGTGAACCTTATTTTATATATATAACTTTTTCTATACACCTTAGTATTTCCGATTAAAAGTATGCTTTTGTCCTACCATTAACTCTTGGGGCCCGTTCGATTCAGCCCTTCCCCCCCATTTACGTTACATTGCTGTGCCTGTGCTGGTGGTCCGTACAATCGAACCCGTACATACATACATTGCTTTATTCGCTATTTTCTGTGTAATGTTTTTTCAACTTTCTTTTGTTTTTTTTTTTTGCCTTTAATTTGTGTAATAATGCAGCAAATGATGTGCATATTTAGTGTGTATGGTTATGAATAGGACTCTCTCGGTTTAAGTCTACGGTAATTAATCTATTATTAAATAAATAAAACAAAAAAAAAACAAAAGAATATAAAAAAGCTAAAACTTTGTCTTGTGAAAGAGGCCATGCCCCTTGAAATCCATGCATTCAAATAAGCAATTCTCGCTGTGGCAATGCAAAGTGATGCAATGTGCATTCCACCTGCAATGGTTCATTCATTCATCATTCTGTTTGTTGGCCAAGGGCATACATATTCATTCACGGTATTCATGGTATACCAACAGAGTTTTCGGACATCAGAAGAAAATTAGCATTATTCTGTTTCGCAGGAAGTGAAAAATTCAAGCGGATTTTGAATTGTATCCCAAAATTGTATTAATTTTCTATAAGATTGGCTAAATACTTATTTAACAAAAATGTATTCAGTTTTAAAATTTGTAAGATGTCGGTGCCACGGTATCTGCAGATTTAAATAACTTATTTAGAAATATTTTTCTCTCAAACGAAATCCGGAGTTTCTGATTTGAGATCCCCGAAGACATTTGAGAAAGCCACCCTTCGAAGTTAGCGCTAAGCTGCAACCAGATGGCAGCCCTCTCCCGGTCTGGCAGCACTTTTTGGCTATACCAGTGCTTCACAGCACTGATCTGTAGTGTTGTCAAACGTTTGACATATACTTATCATTTCGGGCACTTCTACTTATTATTATTAACAAATTCCTGTTTTCATGTGAATCGTGCTCCAGTCCAAACACGGCTGAAAACCAATCCGGTGGCAGTAGAAAAAATTTAGAGTACCAGGTAAATATGGCCGTTGATTAGAAAGTGCAGCAGCCACCTCGAGAACCTTTTACCTTTGCCCCGTTTTTTTTTTAACAATTTACAAGTCAGTTACAAAACAGCCGATACTGCCGAAAAAGTGCTTCTTATGCTGTACGGTTTTTGTTGTTGTTGTTGCTGGTGCTGCTGGGTGTTCTCGTGACGTACAAATTAGCAAAGATTAGTTTATGGTTTTTTTTCCTGGTTCGCGGTCGTCTGTTTTCGTGTCTTTGTTGTTTTTGCACTTGTGCAAGTGCAATTGATTTTTGTGTTTGTTAGTTGTTTTGCCCTGTCTTTCGTTCTTTTTTACTGGCCTCTTTCCCACCATCCCTCTGGAGATACTTCATTGTGCCATTGTTTCTTTGTTGTTATTGGTGTCAGTGTCGCTCCAAAAGGGGGTTGGCAGCACACGCTTTTGCCGCCTTACCACCCCGTAAAAACTGAAACTCCAAGTTCAGAACATCGGATTTGGGTGTAAAATTGGTCACAGCAGCCCCCAGTGTGTCCGTTCCATTTATTGTGTGGCAAAAACGCTGATTAGCAAGAAGACACTGCACCTCACCGGACCGACCCCCACACCCCTACCCGGCCGCACACCAGCCAGTGGCACAGACAGTCTTTCGTTGCTCTGTTAAACGCGCATGTGGATTCGTTTTATTGGTTCTCCGAGTATCGTATGATAATCTCCCTTCTATTGTTGTTCTTGTGCTTTTCCGCGGGCTACTCGTACACATACGCACGTACACAGTCACGAACACGTGCGCATGGGGAGACGCTATATGTGTGTGTGTGTGTGTTTCTGCGTGTCTGCTAGCCTGTCGAAAATTGTCACCAATCTAATTCAATTTAGAAATAAAGTTGTGCCCGCATATGTAAAGGGAAAAGAGGGAAAAGTGCACACATATATGTATCACAATGTGTTGCCGTTGCCGTGGGAAAGTCGCACAAGTTGTGGAAAGTTATTTATTTTTTAAATAATTATTCAATCTGGCAACGCCTGCTAGCGCGGTTTTTCTGCATAAATTTGAAACAAAATAGTAGTAGGCCCCGGCGATTACCAGGATTACGATAACGAATGATGTGTCGGATGTGTCATAGTGTCATTAACTAGCATTCTTGCAACTCAAATTCAATTCAGTAAAAGAAGAATTTTTGTTTTCAATAATATTGGCCTCAATACCTAAATTGGAGATTTTTGCATCTTTATTTTTTTCGTTTTCATTCTTAGCCGCTTGCAAACCGCTTAAATGTCACTACACTCGAAAAGGGAAAAGGAAACAGCCGCCACCAGCACGAAAAGCCATGCCCAGAGCACACGCCACACGAGCGGCAGTAGCAGCACGAATAAACACAGCCACAAAAAGCAGCTACCCAACGGCAGTCTAAAGGCCAATTCCAACACCAACACCAAACCCAACCAAAACTCCAACAGCAGCAGCACCAGCAGCAAGGTATCCATTATGCAGGCCACATTATCGGGATTGGGACCGAGATCGGGATCAGGATCAGGATCGAGCTCCTCCATCTCCCCGTCCACCTCGTCGTCGACAAACCAGTTGTCGCAGGTACAGGGAAAATTCCAAATGAGCAAAAAGGAGAAGAACCAAAAAGACAAACAGCGCGAGAGGGAGCGCATCGAGCGCGAGCAGTTGGTGCTCTGGCGTCGACCCCTGGACACGTCCATGTATTGTGGCCTCGAACTGCTGGCGCTGTTCCGCACTTGGAGCGCAAGGTAATGTCCACTGGCCCAACGGATGTTCAGTCCGAAAACAATACTCAAAATACTCAATTCTTATCTTTCAGATTGGTGCAGCAACGTCTCCTGCTGGCCGCTTTGATAGTATTAGGCATTTTATTTAGCATAACTTACAGAATCGATGGACCACATCAGCTGGCCATTGAGCTGGTGCGTCGGAACACCTGGTTCTTTGTCTACTGGCTGGGACTGGGCGTTCTCTCCTCAGTGGGACTTGGCACCGGCCTACACACGTTCCTTCTATATCTGGGGCCCCACATAGCCAGCGTCACGCTTGCCGCATACGAGTGCAATTCACTGAAATTCCCGCGCCCTCCATACCCAGATGAGTGAGTAAACTCCCTCCCAATCGTGATGTGTGGCTCTGCATTGACCGCTTTATTTGTTTGACTCACCTGCAGCATCATCTGCCCGGAGGAGCCGTACGATAAGCGAGTGCCCAATCTGTGGGCCATCATGTCGAAGGTTCGACTGGAGGCATTCCTTTGGGGCGCCGGCACGGCCCTGGGAGAGCTGCCGCCCTACTTCATGGCCAAGGCGGCGCGACTCTCCGGATACGATCCGGACGATGCCGAGGAGCTGGCCGAGTTTGAGGCCCTGAACGCCAAAAGGAACCAGAAGAACCTCAGCCTGATGGACAAGGGCAAGCTGTTCATGGAGCGCGTGGTGGAGCGCATCGGTTTCTTTGGCATCATGGCCTGTGCAAGCGTAAGTGGGAACGGATGTAGACAATCCCAGAATCCCGTACTGACCAAGAAATCCTTTGCAGATTCCCAATCCATTGTTTGATTTGGCTGGCATCACCTGCGGCCATTTCTTAGTGCCATTCTGGACCTTTTTCGGCGCCACACTTATCGGCAAGGCCATCATCAAAATGCACATTCAGAAAGTGTTCGTGATAATTGCCTTCAACGAAACGCTGATCGAGCGGGCAGTGGATCTGCTGGCCTCACTGCCCTTCTTCGGTCATAAGCTGCAAGAGCCCTTCAAGGCCTTTCTCAAAAACCAAAAGCAGCGCCTCCATCGGCAGCAGCGTGGCACCGGCAAAGGTGCTGCTGTTGGACCCGATTCGGGCAATCTGCTATCAAAGATTTTCGAGACGTTTGTAATTGGAATGGTGTGCTATTTTGTCGTGTCAATTGTTAACTCACTGGGACAAAGCTATCACAAGCGTCTGCACCGAAAGACTCCCTCACCGTCATCACCATCACCGGCTCCGGCAACGGCCTCGGCGGCGGTCAAGGCAGTACCAGTGCCTGCGACCACGCCCACGGCCACGGCCACATCAAAGAAGCATGCCAAGCAGCGGGCCCTGCGCGAATAGGAAGCGGAGGCTTCAAACCAAAATCCCAAGCCCCAAGCCCAAAATCTCTTGTGTTGATAGTTTTTCGAGACATCCTATCCCCCTCCCGCCTGCAAACAAAACCCGCTTCCCATCCAAGTTTTAACTTATTGTACCTTTTTTTTGTTCGTGCCCTTGTTTTAGTCAAATTTGCAACCATAAAGTGAACGCTGTGTATGTAAGAGATGTGAGGAGGCGGAGACGGCATCCGGCCGGTAGGGAACGGAGACGGCGCTAGTTCGCGAACTTAGATTAAGTGCAAAAAGTAACGCAAAAGAAGGGGAACAGCGTAAGGAGCAATTGAATTACTAGTAAAAAATTAAAAACAAATATAAAAACAACAACAAAAATTAGTATAAAGCTGCGCATGTACATACATATATATATGTGTGTGACTGTACTGTGGAAAGTGAATGAGAAAGACAGAGAGAGAGAGAGAGAGAGAAAATAAGTGGGAGAGAGACAGACAGAGAGGGACTATCTAGTCGCTGATAAAATGTGCAAATTGTGCGAAAAGACATTGAAACGAAGAAGTGAGGAGCAGTAATAAAACGGTCGCTGAAATGCTGAAAACAAAAAGAAATATATACGAAAAATAAACGTAGTATGAATAAAAAAATGCACAGACAGACTCATTGGGCTAATCGGGCGGACTCCCTTGATTGCATTCCAGATATCCGCTCCATTTCGCTGAGATTTCCAAATCACTTCCAGATCCGTTGCCAACAGTTGACACTTGTATTAAGACTCTCCAACCCACGTGATGCCCCTACGCCAGCTTGAAGGACATCACATACAGGACGCGCCACCCGCTTAATCATATTTAAATTTTCGTGTAAAAACGATTCTTCACGTTTACGAGAAATGTTTAGGGCAAAATGTTGCTGCTTGTTTTGGAGATCATTCAATATCATTCCGTGGACTTCATCTGCCAATCCGGAAGGTACTCGTCAAAAACGCTTGTCCGTCTGCGCCTTAATTCAGCAGTCCAATATTTTATGGCTAAAAACGATTGCCCCATAAACTTTGTTCAACTCATTTGTTCAATTCCCGCCAACATTACCAGTGTTGACAAAACCGCCTGAAGCAGCAATCAGCTAATAAAACATATAGAAAAGGTATGTGAGCTTACAAAGTTGAACGAACTATAAGAATGTTAAATCATTAAAACAAACGTGCCATCAAAATATGAAAATGATCAATGAATAAAATAATATATTAATGCAGACAGAGCATTGACACTAACCATACAGTATATAGAGTGCCAGTTCATACAACGAAAGGGGCGCAGCTGATCCCTGCCCAGCACCCCAGGTCTTCGGCTAAGTTGCCCGACCTACTTGTGGTGCTGAGACGTTCGGGGTCGTGGGCCTGAGACGTTCGGCAATTTTTCGACATGTTCGATTCATGGAGGAAACAACTGGAGATTGCAAAATATGTAAACACGACACAAATTTTGTATCAATTCTTATTTTCCGAAACCGTTTTGAGTTTGTTTTGAGTTTTGTTTCCAGGTTACGTAAATGTGTGTGTGCCATGTATTCACACATACTGTGTTGTGTGTGGGCTCTACAATTTTTGGCAGTTTGAATTGGTTTTTCGTTTTGTTTGAGGGCTGATGTGATGTAGCGACCTGTGCTGACCTGCCGCAATATAACTGAGGAATGGGCAGAGTGGGTGGGGGTGGGAAATAAATACAATATATAAAAATTAAAGGTATTAAAGAAATTGTTTCGCTGGCTCCGACCTTATACAAAATATATTTCTCAAATTTTACTGACGCAAACACTCTCGTTAAGAATAGCGATTTGAAAAAGATGAATATGGTAGCATTTATACCACGGAATTATGTGGAATCCTTTGGTATAATCAAAGGTGTTCCACTAGGTTTTTCGAATGAGGAAATCAGGGAGAACATAATGTCAAGTATCGCGATAAAATCGCTAGAAAGATTTGCAAGGAGGGAAAAAATGTTGATAGATGATACCAACTCAGAATTTAAGTTCATACCAACAGAGACGGTAAAAATCGGGTTTGAGGGTGCTGACATTCCAGAAAAGATCTCACTTTTCGGGATATGCAGGCATGAAGGTATATCAATATATTCCAAAAGTACGTCAGTGCTTTAACTGTGGCAGAATTGGGCACACTTCAGCCAGATGCAAATCGGCGAGAAGGTGCACCAAATGTGGAGTGGGAGATTGCATCGGAACATGCACGGTTCTAAAGTGCATCTTATGTAACGGGAAGAATCATTCAGCCAGGGACAGATTTGTTTGCCCAGTATGGGAAAAAGAAAATGACATTAATAAGATTATGACAATAAAGAAAATAGCAAGAAAGGAAGTGCTAAATACCTATTCAGTCCATCAGAATTATTCACAGATGGAAAATTATGAGGTTAATTTTCCCAAATTAGTCAGAACCGAGGAAAATATACAAAATAAAAACATCCAAACCAATGAAATACTCAAAAAGCATAGTTATGCTAGCAGAGTAATTCAAAGACCAACCATTCCCATACAAAAACCACATTTTCAGCTAGAAGCTTATACAAACGATACTAGTGACCATATACCGGTCGCTGGTTATCAAATTCAGAAGAAAACAAATTTACTATCCAGCAGGTTATAAGCATGTTGTCGCAGTTCAGTTCAGTAAGTGGCATACGAAATATGTCCAAAAATTACATCAATACCAATGAAAATACAACGAAAATACCACAAAGGATATATAGGACACCAACAGAAGAAAATGAGAAAAGTTTAAAGTCTCGACGTGAATATGAAGTGCTTACAGCATAATATTCAATCGATAAAAGCAAACAAAAATGATCTTGAATTTTTTTTAAATAATGGAGACTTTAGTATTGCCATTCTGGCTGAAGTTTTTTCTCACGATCTCAGCTTTAGGAAATTAGCAAATTTCAATTTAATTGAAAAATACAGAGATGATGGCTATGGAGGTGTAGCGATCGCTTATAGAAACGATCTTAAAATGAAAAAGATAACCTATGAATCTGATCAGGACATTGTCATTGCAAGCACTACCCATAATAAACTAAATCTTTTTATCGCTTCCATATATTTTGAACCAACAACATCGTTTGAAACGTTTAAGCAAGCTATAAATACCCTTCTGGAAAAATTAGACCCCTTTGAAAATGCAATTGTGGCAGGGATTTTAACGCTAGACACATAGGTTTTGGTGACACAATAAACAGTAGAAAAGGGGCTTTTTTAAAACAAGCGATGAACAATGCAGGATATGCTCTGGTAAAATGATCGATGTCCTACATTTAGGAGAAATATAGATTCAATTGCAGGGTCCGTCTTGGACCTCACCTTTGTAAAGGGTATTAAAGTTCAGAATTGGAATTGTGAGAAACTGTTTCTGGGAGGTAGTCACCACCACCCTATAAGTTTTGAATTGATTGGAAGAGGAAAAAAGCTAAGTAAGTTTCTAGCTAAAAACAAACTAATTAAAAAACTGGGAAAAATAGATATAAAAAAAAACATAGAGACTTAGCCAAATGCATGCAACATGAAATCAATGCTGCTACCTTTGAAGTTGACAACAAATGGCCAAAGTTATGGTGGGATGAGAGGTTAGCCAAACTATTTAACGAATTCTCTGAGGCCCAAAAAAAGGCATGCTCGGAGCCAGCTTTTCAGAATTATTGCAAGGCAGTAGATCTGAAAATCAAATGGAAGAAGGCTGTCAAAATTGCAAAGAAAACTAGCTACGCCAGAAAACTAACAGAGCTCAATGTGAAGGCAAATACTAGGGAAGCCTGGAAGTTTCTAGCTAACCTTAAAAATTGCAACATAGAAACTCAAGAACAATTTGATTTAGAAAAAGCTGGGTCGTACTTAGTATGGCTAAAAGAACAAGTACCTGCTGAAGCCAGAAGCATTGATGCCACTTTGCATGCATCAAAAGAAAACGAGAATCCGAAATTTACTCTTGAAGATCTAGAAATGGTCCTAGGTCGAAAAAAAAAACTTCTGGAGGCTTTGACAAGATCACTTATGAGATGCTCAACGCATTAAACAGGGATACTAAGGCAGAATTAGTCAAATTCTACAACAACAAAATTGCAAACTGTGAAGTACCAGCTGAGTGGCGCACGATTAAAATCACGCCAATCCCAAAAAAAAACAAAGATCTATCAGACATAACAAATTTTCGACCAATATCCTTAATTTCGGTCCTGGCCAAAACAGTTAACAGTATTATCAAAAGCAAGCTTGAAAAATATATACAGGACAACGAAATTCTACCCTATAGGTCTTATGCGTATCAGAAGGATAAGTCAGCTGCAATGTGCATTAATGATGTGATCAATGAGGTAGCTGCAAGGAAAAAAAGCAAGGAGCATGTGATAGTAGCGGCTGTTGACCTAAACAACGCTTACAACTGTGTAAACTTGAATTTTTTAAAGATGTTAATGGAAAATGAAAGTTTTCCAAAAATGTATGTGGACTGGATTATAAGTTTCATGTCCATTAGGTTGCTAAGACTGGGAGATGCAGTAGAAGTGGTGCAAGGGAGGATTACCCCAGGGATCATGTCTTTCACCACTACTTTTTAATATCTACACCAAAAGACTCCATCAGGTAGGGGACTGCAACACACAAATCATGCAATTTGCCGACGATTTTATATTGGTGTCACACGGGTATAACTATGCGGCCGTAGTTGCAAATCTGAAAAACAAATTAAACGATTTTAGCCTATTATGTGGCGATCTGGGTTTCAGTTTCAATCCTAGCAAATCTGTGATTATGAACATGGGAAGGGAAGGTGGAAGGTCTCTGAACATAGAAGTTAAAAATGTTCTAATACCTGTGAAAAAAAGCTTTTTGTTTCTAGGTAGGCTTATAAGTTCTAACATGTCCAATACCAGTCATATAAAAATGGTAAAAGAAGTAACTAGGAAAAGCAGTAGGCTTATACAATTAGCGACAACTATCAAGTCGGGACTGAAACCTAAGACTAGCGTTAATATCTTCAAATCATTTATAAGAAGCAAGCAAGAATATGCAATTACCAGCTTCTCTGACATGGGAGTTGGGTCCAATAAAGACATGGAAATTGCACAGGCAGGAGTGCTGAGAAGATGTGTAGGTGTGCCTCCTGATACAAGCAAGCACGAAATCTTTGTTGGCGGGTATAATGCCTCCAAGTTTCAGGGCTAAGTGGCTTACAGCCAAAGAACTTTTCAAGGTCAAGAAGCTGAATCCCAGGATGTTCGATAGCATAAGACGATCAAAAGCAAAGACGAGTTACACTTGTACCTTAGAAGAATTTAAAACTTTCTTCGACAATTCACAAAGCTGTGATAATTATAAACACTGTAAAAAGATTAATGTAAGA